ACCAAGGTAAATTTTAAAGATGCATTTTACATGTGAAAATTTATTTAAAGTCGCAATAATAGCAGGAGACTTGAGTGTATAGTAGAGTAGACACATATTTTTAGGACGACCAACACCTGCCGATGCCGATGGTGAAGCTACTACAACCTTACATGCAGTGACGACTGCTATAAGCAAGGTGTAGACATATGTTGTAATTGAAAGAGACTGTGCATTGAAGGGACCAATGGTCCTAGAAGAGAACAACTCGACATCTAAAACTTTAATTAAAGAATGTGGCGACTTATTATTACTTTTTATTGAATAAGATTTGCGTTTATAAAGGAAAGAGTACAAAGAGAATTGTGTCCGCCATCACAAAAAACGTGACAAGGAAATGAGATTAGAAGGGACTCGTCCCTCCCAATTTGAAGAACGAGCCCATTTCACTAGATGGTGGGGCTGCAAAATTACAGTTTCTAAGGATGTCGCGACTTATTAGAGTCTTTTGATGTTTGTTCGTTTTCGTTTGCGAGAAGAAGTGGGATGAGTATTATAGCCTATTCTTTAGCGCAAGCGGATTTTGTAGATAATTTGGAATGTGATATTCTCTCCAACCTACTAGGTACAAAATTGCCTAGTAAAACATATATGTTTTTCTTAAAGGAGAAAAAAATTAAAAATAAAAATAAAATAAAAAATAAAAGTAATTAATAAAAAGAAAAATGGGTGCATAAAAAATATCGGTCCCAGCCTCAAGACTGGAGGTGTTCCAAAATCTGACAGCCTCTGATTTCATTTCACCGCCGCATCCGTATTCTTCACTTTTTTTTCTTTCTTAAGAAACTCAACTTGTAATCCAGCCAATCAAAAGAAAGTAGGCAAACTTGCCCATATCATCATATAATAATATATGAATTTAAAAATATATATATATATATATATATATATATATATATATATATGATATACCTACGCGGGCCGGCCCAATGGGCCCTCAAATATATCTACAAATTAGGCCCACTACGCGAAAGCCCAAATACCTTCAAAGTAAGGCTTGGGCCCAACAAAGTAAGCCCAATCCAATCACCGAGATATAAATAGGTGTTTTACTCATTTGTAAAGGTACGTTCTCATTATTGATAATCCACCACGAATTTATTCTCTCTACTCTCCCTACGACCCGTACATCTGACTTGAGCGTCGGAGGGGTTTCCGCCGGATCAACCCCCGGCTTAGTTCACGTGTGCTATTTTCGCAGGGACCTCAGGAGCATCGAATTGACTAGCTACTGATCAGCTTTGCTCTCCCAGCTCGTTTTCTACATTATCCTAGGTGAGCTATCTTTTAGCATCATCATTTTGGCGCCGTCTGTGGGAACGATGCAAACCAGATCACGTAGCCAACAAGATCCTCCTGAGGCATCAGCTCGGAGAGAAAACGACACAGCTAATAACCTGCCCTTTTTTTTGAATAAATA